CCAGAAATGGCCATTCCGGTCTCCCTTTGCTTTGTCGGATCCACTTCATCAGTAAGCACAGTATCATGGTAGAAACGCGAGAATTTACGAAAGGTCTATTTAAATATAAATTCGATCCATGAACTCGTATCTTCTTCTTCTTCGGGAGATGATGAACACGATAAGATATCTGGACCGCTGATCTTTACGCCTATTGGTAATTTTAAATATACCTTGCCTTCATGAATAAGAAACGGCGTGAATTAGTTTAAACTCCCAGTAGCTAATTTGGCCGCCACCGTAACCAGCTGAAAGCTCTACCATATAAACCATGGCTGTGGTAGCCTGGTCAGATTCATGATCGCAGGTCAGGGTGTTTAAAGGGGATATTTTGGTCGCACTGGGAATTCATCTGTTAACTTGGCCTCTAATTATACGTACTGTCTATCCCTTCTTCAGCTCACATCCTTCGATCTCTCGCGAAGTCCTCTCTACATGGGTGGTATTCCCCAACATGAGACCAACTTGAAGGAGGAGGAGTCGATCGTCACAAACAACTTTTTCGTTGGGGCCATTCAGAAGGTAAGAGGACAGTCCACTGCCTTTGCGCTAGCATGTTGAAACTTCTTTTTGAAAAACCACGAAAACAAAAGTGTGCCCCAGTTCGGCATACGGATCTAAATCAGTCCCTTAAATAGCATGGTTTGGTTACTGCAAGCCCCATTAAGGTCGTATTTCCCTGGTACAAAAAGCCCGTTATTCAAATAATTATGCTTTAAGTGTGATTGAAACTCTATAGTAAAAACCTTAACTCTCAGAAGTTCGATTGTAGACCCCAAGCAAGCCCACAATGGTAGGAGATTGCGCAATTTGACTTTTATTATCGATACCCACGCAGCATAATCTCGCACTAGTGCATAAATCGTGTAACATGCCAGGGGTTGCAAAAAATTGATAATCACTCGCAAACCGGCATTAAAGCATGTACAAAAACTTAGAGGTAACCTTATGTAAATTTGCTACTTACAAAAAATATAAGAAGTACTAATTGCTTGTTTAAAAAAAGCAATTTTCTTGATAATCCCAAAGTTCTGGAGACGTTACAATTAGCCGTGAATTAGAACAATAAATTTAAGTCTTTCCTTAACTTTGACGAATTCCCACAGTATTTTCCTTATATAAAAAGAACTTTCCCTTAGTCAAAATATCTTAGGCTTATTGTTGTTATTTAATTAAAATTACTTACAGATGGACCTTTTAAGGTCGATACATTTTCCAGCGTTCTTAGTGTCTTCAAGCTGTCGTCCATAAATCCAGATTACGTTCGAGGTTCGATTAAAAAGATTTATGAAAAAAAGTGTTCTTGGATATTCGTTCTTAGGATGATGGTCATGTGAGCCATAAGTAGAAATGCCTTCAAACAACAAAACACATGTTTGAGCAAAAAGAACGTCCGCAACAGAAGTATGACGTTGTTATTCCTAAGATTAATAACAAACTTTGTATAATAGGTTACGTCTTTAAAAAGCCCTAATTAGATATTCAGCTGACGAATACCTGTGCATGTTAACTTTTTCGAAGGTAATGCTAAAATGAAAATGGAGAGTTTTGAAAAGTTTTTTTAAATTCATCTGAAGATGAATGCTACAATTTGGCTGGAAATGGAAGAACTTACTTTTCTCTTCATATTGAGGAATTTTTCACCATAGATTGTTACTTTCAGGCTCCGCTCTAAGCTTGATAATGTAAAGTAATTTTTAAAACTAAAATTTTTCCTTGTTTCTGAAAATAAATGCAATTCCTTAAACTGGGCTTCACTTACACTGTAGCAACTTCGGACTACTTTTTTCCGGTTCTGAAAAATATATGTTTTAAGCTTTTCTTAGTTATTTTGGGGTTCTGTCACAGCACAGTGCGCAAAAAATAAAAGGTTTGCTTCTGCCATGTTTCACAGAATACGCACGTAGGCCATCTATCCTGTGCCTTGAGTATTTTTAATAGTTAACGCTTTACAGTATATTCTCTTCTGCCTTCCCATTGGTTAAACATGAAGGTGATAATAAATGGAGCAGAACTAGTTTTGGCGGGACCGCACCCATCTGACAGCGAAAAGGGGGCCACTGAACTCTGGGAAAACGTTCATCAATGGCAGGGTCCGCCGTGTGGGGAGGACTTCGCCGCCTGTGATAGCGAGCCGCTACGCAAAATCTGCCGTCCGCATGGGGAGGCTTACACCTGCAGCTGTTCGACACCACTGATGCACTCAGTGTTTGTGCAACGACTGACAAGCTCCCTGGGGAAGGTCGAGTTGAGCATCCAGGACCAGAAACGCATCTCTGTAGAGGCTGAAGAATTGGCTTGTGCTGAACGTGCGGTAAGGTTTCTTTCCTAGTTGAACGATTTCCGCTCATACCTTCAGTCCTCCGTCCCTTCGAAGTCCAACCCATCCCGCACAAATACCCATAACCGCGATGGTGCCTGCATATTTGCAGTATTGAGAGTGCTGGCAGAAACTTGCCTAAGTTTGTAAATGTTTGCTAATTCCTCGCATACCGGCGTGAAGACATTTCCGAAAACTAAGAAATAATAATGAACAGTATTAGGCAAATTAAAAACTTAAAAGAAAAATAAGAAGTACTAAGTGTTTGCTAAGAAAAACTATATTTTTCCTGTAATCCCCTAGTTCCGCAGACGTAAAAAATAGCTATAAATTAAAACAATACATTTAAATCTTCTTGTAAGTTGAAAACGGAATCTAACCAATTTCTTTATATACAAAGAACTTCCCTTAAGTCAAAATATTTTGTAAATATCACCATTAGTGTACAACTATTTATTGAATATCTTCCAAAATAGTGTGGCATAATTTTCATCGTTTTCAGTGTCTTCATGTGGTCATTCATAAAGTCCGCTTCTGTTCGACATTTACATCAAAACCTTTAAAATAAGATAAACGTAAAGAGCACTTACCGAAAAAAGAGCTTATGGATGTTAATTCTTATGAATATAATAATAATAAGGCTTATTTGGAAAGCACATCTTTGGCGCCGTCAAAGACATATGAATCATATTTAGAAATGCCTCAACGCAGCAAATTACATTGTCTAGAATAAATAATGTCCGCAACGGAATTCTGATATTTTATTTCTAGGATTAACAAAAAAACTTTCCATAATAGGGTACCTCTTTAAAACGTGTTCTAGTTGGATACTCAGCTGCCGAATTTCTGTGTATATTAATTTTTTAAAGGTAATGTCACAATGAAATTGGAGACTTTTAAAAATTTCCTTAATATATCTAAAGATAAACGATTCAATTTGACTGGAGATGAAAGGACTTACGTTTCTCTTTAGAATGGATTATTTTCTGCATAAATGGACTAATTCCATAATCTGTTATAAGCTTGTAAATGCAAAAAACTGGCCATATTTGTGGCCATTTTTGAACTACTTATTATTCTTCTGTCTGTCCCGTTTCTAAATAATGCATAGGCCAAACATGTGGTTTACGAAGATATATTTCTACATGACTTACATTCAATAAGGCCTTCTTAATGTCACCTTCGCGGTAATATATGCGGACACTTTGTTTATGCGCAAGTAGAGCGGTGCCGTAAAACAAAATCTCGACGAAACATTTTTGTTACAGAATTTTGTGCAAAAGCTTCACAGATAAGCTAAACATAAATTTTATAGCTAATGTTGCTGCTTGTTTCTGAAAGTAAATTCGATTCCTTAAACTTAGCTTCCCCTCCATCTTAACAATTTCGGACAAAATTTTCCAGTTCTGGAAGGATAATTTTTCCACTTATTTCTACTCATCCTGGAATTCTTCCATAGCACAATGCATATTAATAAAAAGTTTGGTTCTGTCATATCTTATAGCATAGGAAATTTCTTCAATATAAACTTACTCATGATTTCTCCAAAATTAGTGCCTACTTCGCTGCATAATTTTAAGTTAGAGGGCAGTTTTTCAAACGAAAGCCTTCCAGATCCTTAAATCCACTCACTTAATCAAAATAACCTGGCAAAATATATGCTAAACTAGCAAGTTAAGTTTAGTCATGAAAGTTTCTTGCAACGCTCGCAATACTGTATGTCTATTAAAATTTTGACATCCCAAGATCTGAAGTTACTAGGAAACATAATTACTTTATTCTGCACATTTTCGCGCCTGGTACCCCAGTTTGTTTTCACAAAAATGGAAGCTGTAAGAAAAACTATAAACTTTAAAAACTAACAGATGCTGCCGTTTGCCCAAATGTAAGCCAAAAGGCGTCCGTCGTATGCATTTTTCCCATCGATAGTGGCTGTCTTCGCTTCTAGCTGACCTGAGTCGATATGCCAAATAATGCATGACTCGACTGAGTGCATTTCTTCCAGGAATTTGCGGCCTTTCCTTGTTGTCCAGTGTGTGTGTATGGCTGCCTGGGATAAGTGGTCTCGTCTCTTCGTCGCTAGCTGATTTTCAGGTAAACGGCTGAATGTATATTTTCTGGTTTGGCCACAATCTTTTAAGAAGAAGAAGTTTTATCGAACGCCCCAATCATAATTTAATTGTTCTGAGCTTTCGGGCTCCTCCAGGAGTCCACCGTCAAAGATGGGAAAACAGCAACAAATGGGGTGGCTAGTCGTGGCGTGTGTACAAAACAACTAAAATTTGAACGTTTAGAAAATCAATAAGTGTATGGTGTGGCCGCCGACTCGCCACTGCGAACAATGTCAGTCTGTGCAAGTAGGCGAAATTGGCGTGTTGGGTGGGAATATTTACAGAAATAAAATGATCAACGAAAACAAGCAAAATTTATAGGAGGAAGGGTCAATTAGAAGTCGTAGGAGAGGGGGGAGGAGGGGAAGAGGGCCAATTAACCACCAGTGCCGTGAGTCTGGAGATACCTGCACAGGGCAACATATGCGGGCGTCAGCTCAATACATCGGTTAAGTGAGTTGTCATCCGATGCCCAGGCTTCAATCAGTTCTCGGCCCGTCTTGCTGACAGCGTGGGCAATTATCTTCGTGGCTGCGAGGGTGAACTCGTGACCCGTCTCGTAGGTGTGGACCGCCACTTGAGATAATGTGCCACCCTTTCGAACAGCCAGCTTATGTTCGTGTATGCGCGAATCCAGCTTGCGTCCAGTTTGTCCCGTCTAATTTATGGAACAGTTTAGACATGATATGCGATACACTACGTCCGACTGCTCACTGGTATTCAATCGGTTCTTGATTCTCATGACACGGCTGCGCATTGTAACCTTAGGACGGTGTGCAATTCGACGCCTAGTCCCGCGGCAATGCGTTCCGTCGCTTCAGATACATCCTTGATGTAGGACAGCGCATGCCAAATCGTAGGGGTTGTTTCTGTTCGGGTCCTCGGAGGCCGAGCACGTAGGTATCGGCTTATGAAGGGCTTGGGATAGCCATTCCGCCTAAACTGGTCACGGAGATGTCGGGTTTCACGTGCTTTTTCTTCCGGGTTACTGCAGTAAATCTGGATTCCGGTTTTTTTCGATAAGACTTCTTCTCAAAATGTGCAAGTTCCTGGAATGCAAACATTTGCCTCAATTGGCCACAATCGGCTGCATCAAAACTTGGATACGGTATTTTGTAGACGACCGATTTTCTGGTGAAATAGCCACCCCTGTCCTTAGGGTGTACAAGTTGGGTGCGCAAATATGCTGTAGACTTGTGTGCTATATATCTGATATCCTTTAAGTGTCTTTGACGAGCTCAGATACATTTTTCACGTACGAAATTGTTTGCCGGCTCTTTAGTTTTGACGTCTAGGTGGTTGTAACTCTGAAAGTACCTTTCACTTTGAACTGTTGTCATCGCATGCATTGACCAACAAATTCAGCAGGATACGCATTTCGTGAAAATAGTTTGAAAAGCTATACCGTTTCCCTTTGTCATTTTTTTCATCAGAAAAGTGAGTTTAAGCTCGACTTAGCAAACTGATAAGAGGGCTTCTTTTGCAAAACATGGGATAACCACATCTTAAATGCAAAACATGAACTCGGGTTATGTACTTATACAGAAAATTAAGGTACTAAGCATCCCATCGGTCTTCCTGCGTACGAGGACATCTAAGAATGTGCAAAAACTTTTTTTGAAACATAAATAAATGCCTGCGAAGATGGAGTTGAGGTTTTTGCGGAGTACTTCTAATTGATCTCTTTTGAAGATAACAAATGAATCGTCTACCTATCGCATCCACAATCTGGCTTCCGCCAAAAAGCCAAATATCGCCCCTTTGTGTCTTGGGGCTTAATTTCGAGCCGTGGCTAGCATATAATAGAGGGAGAGATATTATCGGAAAGCACTAGGGAGACTGAAATGATTATTTCCGGCTTTGATGCCCTCATCGGCCGGTCTGTCGTATATATGCAGATGAACATTACCGATAAGGACAACGGAGACTAGAAGTGCCATTTATGACTTACTAGCTGTCACCAGCCTACCTATCACCTGGGCACCATCATTTTCGAGCTGATGGTCGTTTTGTGTATTGTGTATGGCAATGTGTGGTAGTAAATCCTATCGCTTTACGGCCAACATAGGCTTGTACATGCGGGTTCTCAGTCGCTTATACGCCATTTCGCAGTCTAGAAAGTTGACGCGGTAGACGATACCTGACTTATCTGCCGGTGCTAGTCGGCCTTTGGGTTGCATGACTAAGCGACGGATAGTAGCATCTGGCCAGTGTCCCAATGAGACGAGAGAATGACAGACCACCCAGGAGCGAGTAGATAGTCTCTATTTTAACTCATGTCTTGACCCAGTTGTCTATCTCCGAGGATGTACTCGAGCATACATGCGGAAGCTCAGACGAATAAATATTCTCTCCCAGGGATCGCTTTACCTTCTCCTTCCACAACTGTATCCCTTTAGTAATTATTCCAAGAAGACGAAGAAAATGTGAGTGCGCCTTCATAGGCTGTATTAACTCAGTCCATGAACATCCCGCTGTTCTTTTTCTTTGCCTACATAGGGAAATACTGAATGCGATAAGATATATGAGCCTCGAATCCTTATGCCTATGTATATATATATATGTCTACTCTTTTTAGGGGAAAGATACATCAGGGTTGGTTCAAGGACAGCTTGGCGAAGTGCAGCACGATGTACCGGAGGATAACACCATACGCTCCTTCAGCCAGAAGGATTCACGACAACTAATCGCAAATGAGCCCTCAGCGGCGGAAGGCGCAGACGCACTAAAGTTCAGCACAAGTGTGAACTTTAACGGCAGTACAATCCTAAAGTACAGTAACATGCTCACCACCAGGTATGTAAATTGAGGTTACAGATTGTTGGATATAGCAGACACTTTGATCACAATTTTTTTCCCGGCACCGGCTAAAGTATGAATAAACTCTCCCCCCAGGCGAGCAGTACTTAGTGATGCCATCCATCCTCGAGGTCGTGGACTCGACTACAGCCGGCCTTTGCGTGTTTAGATAACACCAAACGCTGTCATATGAAAACTAAAATAAATATAACCATGGCCGGATGACAGGCGGCAAGCGACTGAGTGGGGTGAGCCGCATGGCATGGCAGGACATCCAAACGTGCGAAGAACCAAAGTACCCGGAGAAAAACCTGTGAAACGGATTAGAAAATGTGAAACGTGATGCGAGGAGAAGCATGCGAACTGTGGCAGACTAGGAGGCATGGCAAAGATGTGAAAAATATATAATTCAGCTACTTATTTGATTTAGGTAGGCATGTTATGTTTAGTCATTCGAGTTTGGGCTGAGGTCTGCGGTCAGGATTGGGCTTTAGGGCTAATACCAAGGCTAGGAATTGATTTAGGTGTTAGAGCTGGAAGTAGTGTTTTCACTTAGACTTATAGAATATTTTTGTGGGTCGCGGTTAGTTCTTGGAGTTAAGGTTAGAATTCGAACAGACACTTGGGTGTTTAAGCTTAGGACTTAAGTTTATGGTTAGCACTTATAATTTAGTCCTTTTGGGTAGGTTTGGGGCACGTGAGGTGCTGGGAGTGCCGTAAGTGGTTATGTCGACGAGAAGGTTACCCAAATCACAAGTCAGGTAAGACAAAGTTGGTAGGAACAGCTTTCCTGCAAGAAAAGGAACAGTGCAAAGGCCGTGTGACGAGCCAACTGCCAGCTATGTCTGCCGCCAGTTGTATCCACGTAGTTGTGTAATTTTGCCGGCGGGATGAGTACTATGCCATCTGCAGCCAATCAAATGAAGCGGGAGTATCGATTGACTTGAAGCCTATACGCTTATCAAACAGCGAGTTGATCGATAGCGTGAGAAGGACCAATAGCACATGGAGTGGATAATTACGCGTGGGAGAAAGTCCTGACAGCGTAGAGGAAGGATGATTCGCGCGCAGTTGCTCCGGGCGGCAGCCTCGTACAGCAGTTCTGAAAACAACAGCAGATCGCTTCATCATAATTATGTGCCCCGTTGTTGCCTTTACCTGCTTTAATTGGCGAATCACAGCCACACCTTTAATAATGTTCGTTTATATGGACGGTACCTCATCACATGCTGTAAAATCAGGCTCTCCTGTGCAGGTTACTTTAAGCATAGATAAATTTTATAGGCGGTACCATCCATGGGAACCGCTGCACATTTTCCCACTGGAGAACAAGCTTGCAGTTAAGGGAAAAAATGGCGTTCACCGGGAGAGTAGTTGTTTTTGTCTACCCACCTTTAGAGACTGTACATTCAGTCTCATATAATGAGAGCGTAGAAGGAGACTTGTGAGCCGCAATTTCCAGTCTGATGATGGGGTAGACGAACCAAATAACCGAAACGGTAGACACACAGTAAAGGCCTTTCGGCGTAGGCTTCTCCTCCATTTTTTGAAGTACCACCTGGCAATCGCAGTT